GAACGAAGAAGAGAAAAATGCTAAGAATTTAAAACCGGTCGATCACCGGCCGGTTTGAAAATATTTCTAGACCGGCAAAAGATCGGTGGAGACCGGCCGGTCTAAACTTTTACACCGGACCGGCACCCGCCCGGGCCGGCTCGGTTCCAACTCTGATTCAACCCTCACAGATAAAATTCACATAAAAAATCCACAAGCTAAGGTTAAATTCAATCTAAAAGATATGGCTATAGGCGATTGTCTTATCGATCCCATTAACCACTAGCAATATGGTCTACTCCTGTATTAAATCAGATTAATTGATCGACAACAGTTAGCTTATGTTAACTTACAATCAGCAATAGCACGTTATCAAATTCAAATACAAAATTACACAACTGCATACATTATATTTGGTGAATAGCTTGGAGATAACTATACAAATGTTATCGGTTTATCACAGGCATGAGCGAGTCCGTGTCCGGACTGGAAGACTTTTTGACGGACTTGAACTTGGACTGGAGATTTTTATGAAGGACTCGGACTTGAACTTGAGTTTTTGTATTTCGAGTCCGATCTATTCAACTTTTAACACAAATGAAGAAACAAAAATGAAAAGCGAAATCACAACACCTTCTGTAGAGGATTGCGGTCTGATGAATGACCTTGAATCGATAGCAGAATGTGAACGAACAGCTCCAGAGGCCAAAGAACACTAAACATTTTTTATTTTTGTCTCACCCTACATCGAAAGGTATCTGGGTATACTTACTTACTTACAGTATTTTGGCAATTAGAATTAAACAAAAAAGTGTGAATCAATGACAACAAAACTATGATAGATATTAATCGATTTAGTCGGCATTCAATAGTTATAAATAACTGTCATCTAAATGAAGTAGCATCTCAAATACATCTCGGTATCTATTTAATATCAAAGTTAGAATGAATAACACACATAAACTACGTCCATAATCGTGGTAAAATAGTATATTTATTGGATAAGTATAAAAGCATCATACTTGTCTAACAAATTTACATTTCAACGTACAACAACAAAATATTCACTATGATAACAGCCTTTTAACATGTCGTTTCCAAACTGGATCGTATTAGCTTCAGCTTCAACTTCAAATTGAAAAAGATTTGATTCTAAGGGTTTTGAAGTGTCGTTTGTTCTTCATGTTATCGCAAAATGGTCATATTTATACGCAAGCTGTACCATATTTTAGTACAAAATCTTCATCAGTTTTCAAACAAAAATTCAAAAACAGAAGAGGACAGCTGAGGTGTAAATTATATCAGAGTGTCCCTGAAAGATATTAGAAATGTGACGTTTTTGGATCCCCACATTTCGATTTGACGAGACCACGAAGCAGTAAACTCAAACCAGAAGCTTCTTCATAAACATATTTCTTTCTCTAAAACAACACGTATATACGTGTGTATGAACAATGTAGCAAAGTTTTCGAAGAATTACAGCAAAAATAGCAAAAGAAGCATACATACAATTCATACACGAAAGAAAAACAGCAGAAGACAAGCTATATATACAAATAAGGTGAAAACCCTAATACATTGTTCCGCGAACAGCATATTTCATTTCTCTTGTTCGCATTTTTCGTCGAACATTTCTTATTCGTGCTGATAAACGGCTTGTTATTAGACCATGCGGGTTTATCGTGTCATCACATGCTAAACAAGGATATTCATTGATTAAAGCAATGCCAATTTTTTTATATTCAACACCATGAGTCAATTGAGGATAAACATTCATGTAAAAATCAGCTGCTTCACGAATCAACTCATTCATTATTGGATCAGGATCGCCTTGAGCAAAGAGAGAAACAAGTTAGTTTTGCAAGAAATGCAGTTTTTTAGGATTAAAGTTTACTTACCGATCATAAGATTATGTTTAATTTTATCACTGAATGTTGGTAAAAGTGGTGGCACTGGAATTCGACAAAGACCAAAACCCTTTTGTAAAAAACATCTAGAGTATATTTGAGCTGAAAAATGACTTATTAATTATAAAAAACTAGAATTTTAAACGAACTGGATGTAATGATAACACCCTTCCTTCGTCAAGCAATGACGTCGTATCACACGGAATAGAAATATTATGTCGTAACCTGAGGACAGTCTGTCTACTTACTTCATCTGACGACAATATTTGTTGTGACCTTGGAGTATCATCCTCGTCTTCTTCATATTCATTATAATCACCATCAATTTCTTGTTCATAATCATCACTTCGTGCTGTTGTTTGTGACGGAGTTTGTACTCGTGAGCGTGCTGTCAGTGATTGATTTCCTTTAATCGAACGCGATGAAGATGGTAACAATTTTGTAACAGTTGTTTTCTTTGCAACACGTCGTCGTACAGGTTTGACAGTTGGGACAATAACAACGTCTTCCTAAAGTATAAACAAAAAAACAAAAAAAATGTGCACGTATAAAGTAGTATTCCTTTCGTACATTGTCACCATTTTCCGATAATCGTGGAACTTTGTAGAAGTGATTTTCTTCCTAAAATAAGAGTCACATTCATTTTTAAAGGCCCTCAGTTAATAATAAACTTACCGAAAGAGTTCTCTCACGAATATTTGGTTGCTGTGAATAAGTATCATTCTCATCCTAAAAGAAATAGAAACTGATCAACCTTGTATTAAAAAATATTAAGACGAAGTACCCACATCGTGCTGTAGTTGATACGAACTAGTTTCTTGCAACGGTTCAAAAGAACTTGATGAAGCCATAACAAAGTTATCTTACGATATCCGAATGAAACTTTTCATCTATAAACATAGAAAAACTCAAAAATCATTTGATAAAATTTTTTTAACGAACTCAAGAAAGCGCCGTCATACATGTATCTTCAGATTGAGTGACTAGTATACGTTCGACTACTAAAGACGATAGGTATGTAACTTAGTGCACAGACTACAAAATAGTAGAAAAGAACTACATCATGCATCAAGGATAAGAAAGTTATATGGGGAGACCTCTGAATTCATTATTCAGGTAAGTAGGAACAATAACATCAACGGAAAATCTGTGAAAAGAAAATAATAAGTAAATAAATTAATTAATTAATATAACTAAACAAAACAAACTCCAAAGTGCGAAACTAAGCGCACGGTTGGACCCACGAAGACCCAATCGTGATAGAATATAATTGCAGTTATCTAAGGAAGCATAGTGAAGGTTTCCGTTTGCCTTGGAAACTTTCTTTCATATGAATAAACTTTAGGTTAATAATTTTTTATTTCATCTGCATAAGCATTTTAGGCTTGTTCTGATTGGTTGTTTTATACTTCCCAAAAAAGGATCGCGTTCTTTATGCGCCAACTATCGCCCTACACTATGAAGAGATGAATCTCACTTTCAGCCGCACTGTCCCGGAAAAGCATACTTTTAGAAAAAGCACACTTAAATTGTGCCAAAGTATGCTTTTTATGTGCTGCTAGCATGCTTTTACCGTGCCACTGACACATTTCTAGTGTAGTGTGCTTTCGGCACACTGCAATAGCATTTTTGGACGCTTTTTGTGTGCCACTTCTAAAAGTGTATCATCGGCACACTTCAAGTGCGTCATCGGCACACTTTAAGTGCGCTTTTAGAAGTGGCACACAAAAAGCGTCCAAAAATGCTACCGCAGTGTGCCGAAAGCACACTAGAAATGTGTCAGTGGCACGGTAAAAGCATGCTAGCAGCACATAAAAAGTATACTTTGACACACTTTTTCCATGCCATTGGCACAATTTAAGTGTGCTTTTCCGGGACAGTGCGCACAGCACGTATCTAGACTATAGTCTAGATTATGTTTAATGTATACATTAAACATAATTAGGGTAACGCAGTAATAATTGAGTTTGGCATTTTTCTAAGGGATTACGTGCTGAACTGAAACAAAAAAGATGAAAACAAAGACAAAAGCTTATCCAGTATGGAAAGTTTCACATGCCACTTTTTAGAAAAATAACAAATAATGCTTTTTTTGACAGAATTTGAGCTTTTTAGAAAAGTGTTGCAAGTTAGAATTACGCCAAGCTGCGCGAAATACTTAGAGCATAAATGAAGTTTTTAAGTGAGTACTTTTGGAAAGCACCAAAAATATTCTATTCTGATGCAGTGGAAAGAGCGACTGACTCTTTCATTTTCAACTGCTTCTTTACCTTGAAAAATAATTTTGTTGAATTTAAGACTGAGCAATTAGAAAGAGCATTCATATTTTTCCGCTGATCCGCAGTAGATTTCATTTTTCTGTAGAATCTATATCGAGATTAGAATTAGATACAAAAACGAAGTGAATGATATTAAATTTAGTTTTTCAGAGCACGAAACTTTTAAACAAAACTCTTGGTGAAAAACGTCGACACCTGTCTTAATTTTTAAATTCCAGTTTTTTCCGTTTTTTTCACAAAAAAATGGCTTTTACAAAATAAAAATTACTTTTTATTAAATTTAGTAACTCGATTAGCATTAATTAAATATACGAAAATAAATCAGAAAAACGTTTAGCTGCATTTTTGGATTGGCTGTCCCTTGTATACTTTTTCTATTTCCTCAGTAGCGGCGGCGATTCTTCACAGTTTTTGACATGAAAACCAAATCATCGGAGTGGAGTGGAGTGGTATCTCTTCTCGAAAACGAATCAGCTGTTCTATGTTCCTCAGTTAATCAAAAATAAATTTAAAAGCTCATTTGGCACTTCAGGAAATCTTCGGAACTAGTTTTAGAGAAGCGGTCCTAATAATTTTTTAAAAACATTTGGGAGTGATATCGTAAAAGCCGAGAGTTTTTCCTATAACTTCTTCTAATGCCTTTTCAAGCTGTTATTCAGTGGGCACCACAGATAAGACAGCTCTTAATTTTCTTCTTGAAGGGACAAGTTTTCAGAAGAGATTCGTTTACTACAGATAGCACATATTAACATACATTTCTAGTAAAAATCTTTTTATTTAAAAATATCGTATGGGTAATGAGAAAAGTGACTTTTATTGCTTTTTTCTATCAGAAATTCTTCTTTCACTGAAAAATAAAGTAGCTTGGTGCTTTAATGACTTGAACTTATAAACAATCGGATCCTATACATTTTTTCTGTTTAACGTTTCTCGCACTAAAGTCAATCATTTTTCAAAATATCAAGAATTTTTCTGGCATCATTTAAAAAGCCAAATTTTTAATTCTATATTCCGATCAGTGACCATCGCAGGATAGGGCTGCTCTGTTGTCCTGGCGAGCAGGGCGATATATTTTTGTTGCCCTGCCCTGCAACAGGGCAGAGCAACAAAAAATTCCTTGATTTGCCCTGCGCGAGATTGATTTTTGAGATTTTCAAGCTTCTTTTTGAATAAAATTTTGAAATCTCTCGTATATGTGAAAATAAAATGTGTTTTTCGAGCCCTTTTTCAATAGTGAAGTCGATTTTTTTCCTTGGCTTTAAAAGGGAAACTCTTAAAACTTATAAACTGTTACGCTGAAAAATGTGTATATGGCGACACGGTAAAAAACAAGCGTCGACAAAAATTCGTTCACAAAAATTCGTCCAAGAATAGTATTTCAGTTCATACTGCATAGATGACTCGTTTCACTGCACTAACTTATCTCAGAAACGACTGATTTCCTGCGATAGTGAGTTGGTCCAGCAGATCAGGCGTGCTTGCAAAGTACAGTACGTTCAAAACTGAGTAAAATATTATTTGGAAATCTCTTCAAATTTTTTTTTTCCATCTGACAAAAAAAACATACGATAAAACACGTCCAGAAAAAAGACTGTCTAGCAAAAAAGCATACCAACATGTGACGAAAAAACCGCCCACTAAAAAGCGTTAACTTATGGACGCTTTTTTTTTTAACCGTGAACAGGCTATAACATATGGTGCAAAAGTAATGGCAATAATGTCAAACTCTGTTATACTCGTAACCAATGTTTTCGGAAACTAAAACGTCGTTACACTCCTAATCTTGCTGAATTTCGTAAAGCAAGGAATCTTGTTCTCTTTATCTACCATCGTGAAAAATCTTCTTATCTTCGCTCACTCTCTTCTTTATTTTCGGATCCTCGCAAGTTTTGGAGCTCTATAAAAAAACTGTCTTCTTCTCACTCTTCTCTTCCTCAGTCTATGTTCCTAGGCTCCAAATCTTCTTCCAAATTCTTTTGTTTACTTCTGTTATTATTTTTAGTTTTATTTATTTTAGTTTTTTGTTTCCCTATCTCTTTCTATTCTGGTCTCAGTCATCGATATTACAGGTCATGGACCTTTGATAACTCTCGAGTGATTCGAAATATATGCTACAGTGCTTAATACGATGAAAAAAGTCAACCTATCTGGGTCATTTCATCTATCTACCGTTCCACTCAGTCGACTTTCCATCGTTCCCGCATATTCTTTCAGCATATGTTCTAATATGACTTAGCATACCGATTGCTCACCACTGCGGTAACGATAAATGTTTGAAACAAGGGCATGATAGTAAGTTGATCATGTATTCTTTAACCAGATTCATTGTGGCCTGAAAGATTTCTCACCCGATGATTGCAATATGTTGAGAATAGTAGAGAAAGAGATGATATGCATGGTCATAAGCATAGTAAAATACTAACAGCCGACTATCTTTCCCTCATAATAGGGCCACATCGAATAACACTTTCGACATTTCTGTATTCAATTCGTTTAGTCATTTTTTGCATACGTAATGACGCCCAACATGGAAAGAAGTAAATGATTGTAGTTCAAATTTATTAACAATTACATTAGAATACAATTTTTGATAGTTATCCTAAGACATTGGAATGCTAATAATGAAACTATTTTTACTTACAAATAGAGATCTAGTTGAAGAATTCATTCAAGTTCTTTGAGATGTGAAGAAGATACTTACTCACAAAAGATAAATCAAATAAAAATCAATTTTCGTCACTATTACACACCAGAGCTCCGTATGGACTGGACTGGACTCAGATTTTTTGGATTTCATGGACTGGACTGGACTCAAAAATTTGAGTCCATACGGAGCTCTGTTACACACACATATCATTCTTATGTGCTTAGTAAAATCAGAAAATATATTCTAGAAAATTGGATCGATCCGCTAAGCTCCAAACAAGCTCGCAGACTTCAATTTCCATTCGCAAAAGTTTTGGAGATGAGATCGAAACAAGTTCTAAATCTTTCACTTCACTACATACTATACTATACTACACAACACTCTTGGCAACAAGCAAGATGACCGCCCTGTTTTTCATTTGTCCCATTTTTCCATTCTTTTTGCCTCATTATATACGTATTTTCGACAAAAGATTTGTGATTGACTAACCAATCAACGTCAGTTCAGTAAGTTATTTAGTTTACAGTGAAAAAAAACATAACCTATTTCGGTGGTATGGAAGTACAGTATCATACCTAAGTGTGACGGAATAAATATAACGAAAAACGTAGACCGATGAAAAAAGTCTTCTGTTACATGCAGTGGTTAGGAAAAACATTGAATGAGAAGTACTGACATAAATTGAAATTTCCAAATCAGAGATCATCGCAGGACAACAGGGAAAAACTTTCTTTTGCACTGCAGAGCGTCCTGCCCAGCCATTCGAGGCCAAAAATATTTTATGAGTAATTTCCTGACAAGGCAGGTCGAAAAAAGTTGCCCTTCGATGATCTCTATTCTAAATCTGTTTTCCTTTTTTTTTGATTCCTACATACTGTTAATGAGATACATAAGTGGTAGATCCATGAAACTTGAGTCATCCCTGATTTTGACTCCAGTAGTGAAACCGCCACTTTACGAGTTCAGAAATCATGCCACTTATTCTCTAAAATAGAAGATATAACACATGCAGTGGTTCTTTATTTTTTTGGAGATTGACGTATTGAAAGTAAAATATAAATCTGAACTTCGAAAGTGTACAGAATATACTTCATTATTTTTCGCAAAGTGTAAGAGAGAGTGAACATTCATTTTTTAGAGGATACTGTACACTTTGTTTTCATGGATATGCTTTTATCATGAAGAACTCTACTGCGGACTATCGTTATGTTATGGTAAAAACTATATAAATTCCTTTTATTTATTTTTTATCGCGGATCTAAACATTTTTATTTGTCACATATAAATGTGAAACTCGACTTGAATAATTATATTTAGTTAATTTTACAACCGCTTTGTGGTTCAGTTGCTAGAAACCACCTGACGAGACCCCTTGAGAAAAGTAACCGGTCGTGGTATGTTTTGATTCTTTCAGAAATGAATTCTGTCTGAGTCTCTAGTAACTATAAAGCGGTTATAGAATTTACTAAATATTTTTATTTGTAATCTTTTAGCCTTTTTTGTTCTCTTTAAATATGATAGATTTTTTAAAAGCTCTGATATATCTGTAACATTCGCCTCAAGGCAATGCATAGCATTTTCTTATAAACGTGTGTATATAGTATATTATATAAACGTGTGTAACTTGGTCCGGTGAACTGATAATGTATTGTTTTAATGTTGAATTATGATTGATTTTTGACTTTAATCTTGTTTTATACGTATTGCAGATATACAAAACGGATGTCTTCTTTCCTGATACATCCAACTCAATCGATTATTATTCTATTTCTAGATCGTAGTTAATGAACCTCACTTTTATTATCATTGAAAAAAGGTTATGATTTGCAAAAGAGAAAAGATATGTAGTGAACAGTATTTTTTGTGCTTTCATCAAAAATATAATTTATTTTTTTGTCTATTTTGATTAGTCAAGGTTTTAGTTACAAGAGCTTTTTTTTACAAATATTTTTTATGCTAATTTTTTTAGAAAATTGAAATCGCAAAATATCCGCCAGAGTTGCATATGCTTTTTTGGGATCTACTTCAATTTGTAGCAATATGAGCGAAAAACTGTTGTGCTAATGCAAACGACTCTAGATAATACATGTTTTTCTGTTATTTGAGATCCGAGAAAATCAGTCGGTTTTTGGTGTGGCCGATGATCTTTCGGCTTTTCTTTTTTCCTCCGACTACATATTCACATCTTTCTCTTCCAGAGATCATACCAAAAACAGCTGAATTTCACTTTCACTTGTTGATATCTTAAAGAAAAATGATATCGTTGAGTATGATTCATTTTTTTCTTTTATTCTAAAATCTCTATCTTAATCTTTCTCTCTCATATATCTTCTACTCTTCAATTATACAACAACAATCAAAAGATATCAATTATTAAACGTTTCAAATGATGGACGATGAAAAGTATCCAAGTGAACATCTATTATTTGAACCATTACCACCAATTGTATATAGTAGAGATGATGAAAATAATAGTAATAACAATAATAACATTGATCATTTTCTCAATGATGATGACGATGATGATGAATTATTACATAAAAATCATTCATTGGATGGTCTAGAAATTAAAGGTATTTATTTGGAATGAAAAATGACCACAATAGATCGGAGATTTGGCTTCTGAAAAAAGATTTTTTATTATTCAACGAAAGAGGAAAATAGGACTGCTTATTTGTGAATGGTTCATTGATCATTCATCTAAGAATGTTTTAAATTCGTATGTTTCTTTTAGGTCATGTAAAGGTCTTATCACCTGTTTTGTGGTCTTTGACAAATATTCGCTTTCTTATTATGAATAATAATGAATTAAATCGACTTCCACCAGGTGAGTTTATTAAAGTAGAGATGTTTGAATTGATGATTTCTTTTTTCTCGCAAAGTAGAAATTGGAAATCTAACAAAGTTAATTCATTTGGACTTATCAAAAAATAGATTACGTAGTCTTCCAGCGCAGATCGGTATGTAGACATTTTGTTTATCATCTTTTATGCATAAAAAACCTATTTATTCTATAATTAAAAGGTGATTTGGTACATTTAAAACGATTGTATTTGGAAAATAATCAATTAAAAAATTTACCGTACGAACTTGGAAAATTAAATATTGAAGATATTGGTAAGAACAATGATTAAATCTTGTATTCTAGTCAATGTTTACGGTTTTTCTCTATTAGGTTTAAAAAATAATCCACTAGGTATGTCGTTATAAATTGTGTATATTATTGTTGTATTGTAATATGTGATTTACAATTGATAGGTGATGAAGTATTGAGTTTATTTGCTCGACCATATGGAACAAGTGAAATTATGAATTATCTAAGAGAAAAATGGAAAGAGTTAAACTCATTTCCCAAAGTAACATATAAAGTAAATAGAAAAGAAAAATGTACGAAAAATAAAATACGTATAGACTAGGAGACAAGTGTAGAAATAATTGGATACGATTAAATGTACATAGTGACGATAATAGTATTCACTTTGTTGTTGTATTTTTATTTAGATGTCGCTACCTTGGAACAGCAATGATGATAACAATAACAACAACAACACAATTATGTTAAGTGGTTAGAAAATATTATATATACGTAATAATGTTTTGTATACAATTCTTTCGATCACTAACAGTTCTTGACAATTGTTTTTGTCTATATTATATATACAAAAATCAATTTGATCTTTTCTTTTCATTTGTTTTGTTTTTCTTCCATATAAGATTTTTGTTGCTTAACAATCAAAAAATATATGCAAAAATAATCTACACAAGCTATTAACAATGAAACTTGACATCTTTTTCTTTTTTCATCTATTAAAAATGTGTATGAAAAATGTGTTTTTTTATTTCATTATCAGATTTTTGAAAAGTCAGTCAAGCTTTAAACTTGTTTAAAATTCGAGACTCTTTGTGTTTTTTTAAATTTATTTTTGTTTTGTGATGTTTACTGGTACTATCAAACATTTATAATATAAATTATACTAACAATTGTTCAAGTCACTAGGACTTGTTATTTCTCTATCTTTTCACTTCACTTTTTTTATGGGATCTTTTTTTCGTTTAAACAAAGCATTGTGATGATCATATTTTTTTGTTTTATTTGTTCTTCTATTCCACTTAAAATTACTGACATCTCAATAAACCAACTTTATTCATGTCAAAACGAAAAAAAACAACAAAAGCTCAAATGCTTGCTCAAAATAATAATGATAACGAAAGAAAACTTAATTGTTACTTTTTACTTTTGTGTCTTTTCTCAAAACAGTATATTTTTATTATACAAAAACAAAAAGTATTGTTGTGTTCTTTTATTGTTATTATTATTATTATTATTTTTGTTTTTTGAATAATAAATATTAAAAACACATATATAAACAAAAGATGCATTTATATAGTGTGAATTTACTTTGTAAAACGATAACTTCTTCATTTGGTAGAATAATCATATAATAGTATGTGTTATTTCTCTATTTTAGATTTTCCAGTTGTATTAAATAAAAATCTTATTGTTTTATTATATAAAGAAAATTTCTAGAACTTCAATTTTGTTAAACAACTAAATGTATTTTAATCGTGTTAAATTTTAACAACTATCATTGAAAATAGTATGGATTATTCAATTATTGTTTGTTAAAATGTAATAATTATTTCTCTTTATTTCAAAAACGAGTTATAATTATTGATAATTAACTTAAATTGTATCTAAGATATTCGGTTAACAATTTTGAATTATATTTCTCTCTATAAGAGTAGGTGGGTATATTAATAATTTGTTACAATGATAAGAAGTGAAAAAATTAGATGTCAAAGACTGCATGTCAATTCAACTTTCTTCTTAAAATCTGCTCAAAAAGCTTCTTCAGATAAATCAACTGTGTAACTGGCTTAACAATTGTTGGTCTTTCATGCTATGTATTGATCTATTTTTTTGCTACAAAGTACAAGAACATGTAGGCAACAGTTATATGTTTATTTAGGTATAATCATGTAGAATCATTTATATTATTTATTTACATTCTACTTATACATTTTTTGAAAACAATTGTTAAACGTTTCTTTTTCTATTTTAGTTCATCCAAATTGATTTGGTTTTTCTTATTCGATCTAGTCATTTTTATTTTTGTGTTTTTGTCATTTATATATTTTTAATATGCCTGGGATAAATTTTAACTATGAGAGAGTAAGTATTTATTGTCTAAAAAAAAGAAAATATCGTTTTGAAAATTTGTTTTATGACCTTTAGACTATGAAAGCTGAGCTTTTTGACTTTTTATGTGAGGAGATTGCATCGCCATATAATTATAATTTCAGATCAGAGGTGGGCGAAACCATCCGCAAAACGAAACAGCTTAGAAAAAACTATGGCCAAATGAGACGATACGCAGTTCGTTCTTTCTTGACACACATCATTTGAAAATAATGACATCTCAAAACTTGATTACAGAAATGCGGCGGGACTTTCATTTCTTTTTTGTGTTTTTGATGCAAGAAGTATCAAGATAGACAAAGATGGAATAGCGGCAATTTTCTCTACACGAGACGAAATAAAATAGCTTGTAGAACTTTTTCCGATACAAGACAAGACGAGACGTTCAAAAATTTCGGTTTGTCCACCTCTGTTTCAGATAGTGTGAGATATATTGACAATGAATTGATTAAAAGTATATGGTTTATTGTATGATAAGCGAGCTGTTAAGGCTCTGACTAACTTATAACAGGTGATTTAGAATAAGCGTTCACTTTTCAAACACCTATTTTCGTAAGTTATAATTGATAAAAAAACTTCGATTTAGATATGAAAAGACACAATTTTGTCTAGATTTTATTCATATGTTGTTTTTAATAAAAGTGGACACCATTCTTTTTTCACTAAAAACCTATCGGTAATCTCATAGCTATGAAATTATAAGAATCTGAAATGCAATTTTGCCAGATTAGACATTTTGTTATAATTTGGTTCTAGACAAACTAAGTGCTATGGTGATTGCGTTGGTCTTAAATTCAAGCTAAAATTCGTAGTAATGGCATAACACAGTTGGGGTTTTGATTTGAGCTATGGTTTCGCCAGTATTTAGTTTTTATGAAAGAGATTTATACAAAGTATTGAGATAATGATGCCAAAAAAATTTTGAGACAAAATATCAAAAATACGCCTCTTTTAGGCCTTCTTACAGCTATTAATGGTAGATGGAATCCAAAAACCATTTTGTTATCTTCCACATGGTTAACATTCCTTGAAGTTTTTGTCAACAACCGACTTATGATTATCGAGATAGACTTCTAATAGAGGAGCTTAAAATATACAGAGTGTTTTAGAGTGGCAAGTTACGTGTGTTATACGCCTGCTTATTTCTCAATCGTCCAATTCAATACATCAAAAGGACTTGATTACATCTTTCTTTGAATGTTTTAAAATCTTAATTTGCAAAAATTGTTAGTTCTATATCAAACAGAAATTCAAGCTCTACAAAATGCAAATTTTTTTGCACACAAATATGAAATGTTTTCTACATAGGAAGCTTTGAGAAATTTCCATGTACAAAAAATAGAGCAAATTGTTGAGATTTTCAAGGTTTCCAGTACTCTTACAGTCAAAAAAGAACCATGTGACATTTATGCTGGATCATCTGTCATTCTTCATGATTTCTAAATCTATTTTCATTTAGAATCAATCTGTTGAACGTCAGCATGATCAACAACAACAACATTCTCGACAGTCATTTCACAGTAGTCCAATCCATCATACTCGAACTCAACAGCAATATTATTATCAGCAACCGATCCATCATTCCATTCAACATTATGGTAACACGCAGCAGCAACAGCATAGCAGTCAAATTAAATACAGTAATAATACAACAACGAATGAAACAAAAATAAATTCATCAACAGCGTTAACCAATACCAATACTAATCAAAGTAACAATATTGTTGAAATAGCGGTTGAAATACAAAAAACCTGTGAATGGAATGAATTAGAAATAATGGGAAATGTTAAAAATTTATCTCCAACATTGTGGACATTAACAAATTTAACCGTTTTATATTTGAATGATAATCAGATTAATCGTTTACCAGCAGATATTGCCAATTTGACAAATCTAGTCACCTTAGATCTTTCGAATAATAAACTACGAGGTTTACCAGCTGAAATTGGTTTGTATTGTTTCAATTTACTATCAATTATTATTCAATTTTTAGTTTTGTTGTTATTATTGTTATTGTTATTCAGGTGATTTAATCACATTGAGAGAATTGAATTTAACAAACAATCAAATTCGACAATTACCTTATGAACTTGGAAAATTGTTTCGTTTACAAAGTTTAGGTATGTGTTCTGATAATTTTTTATTTTTAACTCTGTCAGTAATTTTTCCTTGTCTATTTTAGGTTTAATGGCTAATCCACTACCACCTGAAATTTTGTCGTTGTACAGTGAACAAAATGGAACACAAAAACTGATGACCTATTTTCTCGATAATCTTCCATCACCTATAAATGGTATGAATGTTTGTGAGGTGTGTGTGTGTGTGTGTGTGTGTGTTTAAATGGGTAGAAAAACCATTTCGCCATGGGTTTCCTTTTCAAATTCACTTCTTTCCATCTTTCAACTGCTATTCTTATTACCGAAGTATATGAACAATATGGTTAGTTATAACAAAATGGTGCAATAATAAATGGCGGCATAAAAGAAGTAAGTTTAAATTTTTATTGTAATTGCATTGCAAATATCTAAAATATATTAACAATTTAAATTTCTATAATCATCTGTGAATATGACATGTGAGGGATTAAGAAGATTTAATGATTGTAAAGTTCTAACTATCGTCTACTAACGGCAGCTAACATCTTACTTTATTGTCTTGGCGCGGCAGAAAATTGCTTTTTAGTGGTTTAGAAAAATGGAAGTAAAACTTTGAATCTGCATGAATAAGTTATCATATAACAGTTTTTTAATACTATAAGAGATGTGTCAATGATTCCCATTTGAAATATAAAAGCCATGGTGATCTGATTAAAATATATTATATGTCTCCCAAAATCGGTTAATTCACGAGTGATATACTACCCAAATGGTGACGGCTTAATAACATAAAGTTTACCTTCTTTATTCCATTGATTTTAGCTGTATCTCTCTCCTAAAGCGATAAAAAATGTATCTCATGCACAATGAATATTTGCTAACTGCTTTCAGCAAGAATTTTACACAATCTATTTCCATTGGAGAGAGATGAAAGTTTTTATTCGGAAAATTCAAATCGTTACCCATACACAATGTTAACAGAAGACGTCAGAGCTGTGTTAATTGGAAGAATAACTTGCAGATGCCCAAGAACCACATAACATAATTCTATTTTTCTTATCTATAGTGGTTAAAGATTTAACTTACAAAAACTAATAGATAAAGGTAATTTTTAAGAATACATGTCTGATGAACAGAAGATACACGTTTGTTGAAAAAGGACAACTTGTTAATCACGTTCAACATCCGAGTTTGTGTATCTTTTAAGTAAAGAGTGAGCAAAAAAAGTCATGCGAAATAAAAAATGAGAAAAAACATAACCAATCTGTGGTTGTTTGATTAAGTAATGGACGTTTTTTGTCATAAAACGGAATTAGACACTATATACATATATATATATATGAGAGAAACGTAACTTTCTGGTACAATCGATAAAAAAAATGAAAGTGTTCATTAAAAAAATTTGAATGGTACGTTTTGTTCCCCTGTCTTTGCCGAGTATCCTATAAAAGTTTCCCAACTGCCAGACTCATACTGGCTGAGTTAGGAGGGAGACAATTTTCAGTCCGAATTTCGTTATGTGATTCTACTTTCAGAATTATCCATTATTTTAGCAAAGACTATAGATTTTAGAGCTCCAAAAATTAGGTAGTCAAACTCGCCGCAGTCTGAGGAGTCGACTAGTGTACGGTATTGATGGTTTTCGTTTAGCTTTGACCAAAAATCTCACGAAAAAAGGTTGGTCTACAATTAGTTAAAAACAAAAGTCGGTCTACAGTTTCCCCTATAATGTAAAAATAGTAAGGAACAAAATGAGAATTCGATCTGAAATTACTTTTGCTAGTACAACTTTTGGTGCTCTGTCTAGTGTAGAATCCTTCATTAGTTCTGAGCAAAACAAGTTGCAAAAAGTCAGTCTATATTTAGAGCGGAAATTGACTTCCGCAAGAATGAAAGCTATTTTTGTCTCTACCAAATCCTGCAAACTGGATTTTTTTTAAATAGAGTTGTAGACCGACGTCTGATCTACAATTTAGCCACTCCAAGAATTTCTTCAGTGGCGGACTTTTGAAAACAGTTGTAAGAGAAGATCGGTCTACAAAAAACGGAAAAGATGCTTGTAAAATAATTATATCTAAAGGACAACAAAAAAAAGTAAACAAAGTTGAACACTAATCATATGGTTAGATTCACAATTCAATTCTCTACAGGATGCGCTGCTTTCCTTTTCTTTTTATATCTTTTTATATAATCAAAAATTCAGTTTTCAGATGATGAGTCATCAGAAAATTAAGTTTTTGCAACTTTCGAGTCCCATAACTTTGCGACGAAAGGACATATCGAGTAGAAAACTTTTGTGGAAGTGGGCAAAGTACTAGGCAAAGCACAGAAAAAAATTTGCTCAAGAGAGCCTCTTGTAGCCTGAGTTATTATAGAAACATATCTAAACAAGTGATTGTACTAGAAAGTTACGTTTCTCGCATAATATATACACCAAGTATTTTTGAAAAGTATATTAACGAAACATTATTATTATCTGATTCACGGCGTATTATTATTATTGCATACGGCGTAATAACTTTTTCTCAGGAGAATGGAGGAGGAGGGTCTAAACAGACATAACATATTTCATCAAAACTTTCTATCTCTTTTATTTAAAAATATTATTTTCGTTTAGTTGAACAAACTAACTAATATCGATATATATACTCTACACCTAGAAGAACAGAATAGACGAAGAAAAAGTGTTCGTCTGTTGTTCTTCTTGTATCATGTCAAGTCATCAATTTTGCATGCTTTAGAGTCAATCGCGCTAATTTGATCACGTCTTTTTTCACTTTTAGTATTTTCATATTTAAAAGTGATTTCTCAACATTTTAAGAAAGCTTGTAGTTTCCGAAGCAAAACAAGATCATCCCATCGATTTATGTAAAATTTTTAAGATCCCACTTACTCATTCTTTATTAATTAACAAAAAAAGGTACTTAAAAAGGGGCTTATTTTCTTTGTTTTCCTGTCATCAGAGTTGCTAACTGGTCCACTTTTTGGACTTTTGTCCGCAAAGTGTCCATTTTTGGTCCGCTTTTTCAGTAATTTTGAAAAATCGTATTTAAACAGTACTATACTTCATATTTTTTAGTGAAAATATCTTTACGATGCCTTATTCGAAGAAGTTCTTGTCTTATTTAACTGTGATGTTAGCGACCTGAGCAGATATACAATCGGAAAAAAAAGTATAATTTTAAAAGACAACATGTACTGCTTGTTCTGAATCAGAGCTCAAATTCGGTGACTCATTGGAGACAGCAAAGGATTGTCATGGTAATTCCTTTGTTCTGTCTCCATAAGTCACCGAGTTTGAGACTCGTGGTGCTGATGGAGTGAAAAAAATCGGTGTGACTGGCAGAAAAAAAGAAAGTATATTTGAAATAAAAATGTCACTATCACCTCCAAATTTGGTCACGTCCATTTTTTTCCTAATTTGATCACATATATACGACATTTTGAGAAACTTTTCGAAATCAACACGTTTGCACTGTCTAAAGGATAGAATCGAGACAAACTTCTGCTACAAAAAATGTTCACTAGAGTCATGACTACACATAGACCAGAAAAACTCATCAGGTCTATTTTCCGTCCGTTTATGGGTCCTAAAGCGGAGTCAATAGTTCGTGAATGGAAAATAGTGATGTACAGTGTTCTGAATAATTGATCATAACAGCTAAACAAATCTGAAAAAGATTTGAATAGCTGAATAGTATTCGATCTGGTGTGGTGTATATAAAGATTCCATCAAAATTACTTATAACCTTGGTCTCTGAAAAATCAGAATTCTATAAAATCCAGTCCCCAGTTCGGTTGAGACACTTTTTACAAACAAATTCATCGTATAGAGCAAACGTTTCTGAACAAATGAGACATCTCTGATCTCTCCACTTCATTTAATTCTCAAAAGACCTCATCCTATGAGCATCAACAGAAAGTACATTTAGAGCTTTTCTTTACGGATGAAGAATAGGCCTGGTGAGTTTTTCTGCACATATTGTCCTGAGTCTGGTGAACATTTTTTGTAGCAGAAGAAAAATCACTTTTAAATATACAAAATACTAAAAGTGACAAAAAAGAGATGTTCAAATTAGCACGATTGATTCTATGCATTTAAATATGGAGAAGTCATGGAATGTAGTAAAAAAAGATTTATATTATTTCACTTTCAAATGGTATTCATAAGCATAGAAAGTCTTCATATCGGCATTCATAGATTCCTTTATGTTAACTTGAGAATAAGATATTATATAGGACTACTTTAAATGACAAAATTCAGTTAAAGTTAGATCGTATTTTATTTTGAGAGAAAGTTTAGAAGAGAGAGTGAAACGGCGTATTTTCTATTTTATGATCGTTGAAAATTAAAATATTTTTAGAACTATAAGAAGCCTCTTAAGTTTGTTGTATACGTCTGATTAATTTTACTTGAATACGATATTTGCAAGTACATAATAACAATGCTTGAGAAGTTTTTTAATTTAAAAAGTTGAAAATAATTTTTTTTCTACGAAGCGTGCAGTTTTAAATTTAAATAAACAATATCTTCGTCGCTAAAAATCAATAGGTTATGATGAGTTTTGAGTTTTACATTGTTTACTTTGTACAGTATGCAGAATAGTAATATATATTTTACGATTTTTTCAATTCTATTTCAGTAAAAATTCAAGTTATTTTCAATGAAAGTTTGCATGACCATCTTTTACCCGAAAAGATGATAAAAACAGTCTTACTTTCGAAGTTTTGAATAGGTCCAAACAAAAGTGCTCTAGGCAAAATATATTAATGTTTTAGCTGACTATCGGCCCATATTTTTTATACTTTTATCTAGATGCTTCAGATGAAGCGTCGAATTAACTAACTGCATCGATATATAACCTAATACAATTGGATGTACTAAGTTTAACTCGATTCAAATGTTAGTTTATAAAGAATGTTATATAATTCCATGGATAGAAACATTTATATACATCTCAATATATCAATCAGTGAATTGATGACTGAGTTGCATTTGATGATGTCCAATGCTTTTTTCGAGCGTGGGATGTCTCCTTCAAATTTTATTAATTAATAAAAGAAGAAAAGCCTCTAAATTGCGTACATAAAAGTTAGTTACAGATGATAGATTTGAAAAATAGAAAAGAGAAAAGAAAACGGATGATGTTATATGAATTAATGTATGTTTTCTGAAATAATCTTGTTTTTGCTTCAGAAAAAATTTTTTTTTCTTCATCAATGGTTGATTTTTTTGTTTTAAATAGATCATTATCAACACAAACGAGATGTTATTTAGGTAAATAGGATTGAAATTCATGCGGTTAGTAAAATTTTCTATACAGTTTGTTCAATGATGTTATTGGTGAAGATATCCTATTTATACTATATACACCATTTTCTGCTTATTGAAAAAAGTAATTTATATTTTCAAGTTTCTTCTTCTAACACTCATACAATGTTCCGCCTTTATAGTCGGGTATCTTTGATCCATGTACAGAAAAAAAACAGTTTTATAGGTCAAAAAGTACATAGTGCTCTTTATGAATTCCGCGTTTTCTTTTTTTATTCAAGACACAATAAATAGTCTAATAATTTCAGTAGAAGAATAAAACTGAAAGAAAAAGATTTTTTTCATCAAGTACAAAAACTAAGTATGTATAATTGATAAATGAGTTTCATAAATACTTTGATCTGAGTAATCATTGCATAGGTATTGCGTTTTTAAACACATTTTGTCATTTATATGTGTTGGCTTCACAATAAGAAAAGCATTCTCTGGTGTGTCGACACAACAATGATTTAAATAAAAACGTATTTTGCTAATCGTTGCACAGTGGACATCCAGGCGGATATTTGGTGAAAAATTGAAAGTGAGCTTTTTCACAATTCAAATAGTGTCACATATACTTCGATCTACGAGCTATCTAATGGTGTAAAGTTTTTATTTCAAGTGCTCAGTTTTAGAAAAAATGTGTGAGCAAAAAATAGCCTAAATACTAGCGACGTCGGAGAAAAAACATTTTTTTATTTCATTAAGACGAATTATATTTGTAAACAGTACCTATTCCGAATCTAGACACACTCACCTATCTATCAATGAAAAATATTTCCACTTTGATCCTAGGATTTAGGAGAAAAAAACAATGAATTTCTGAACTTATCCTCGTTCTGTATAGGTGGTTAGAATGTAATGAGGTCGCGCAAGTTAGCGCAGGTCGGATGTGATTCAAAATTATAGCAAATTTTCGTGATCATGTCCTGCATTCATTATGAATGCGGCTTCATGCGGCTTTTCTACTGGACTTTGGTATGAATTTTCAAAAAAAACCTTCATTTTTGGAGTAAAATCTAATTTTCTCGACTCAAAATTACCTTTATTGAAAACTAATGACATATTTGGGATGAGTGCATGAAACTCGAATGAAGTCGAATGGCGTATAATTAATTGTTAGTTTTACAAATAAAAAAATATTTGACAAAAATCTAGAGCAAGTGTCCTCCTCAGCGATTTTTCATCACTTTGACTTGTTCATAATTAGATTAATATTTGAGACATGATTAAGCGATAATA